CATTCACAGAGAGTTGGGGAATGGCTGCAATCACAGCATTGTAAGATGGCGAAAGATGTACCCTTAGGCCCCCTCCTCGAAAGAAAGTAAGATATCCTAAACAAACCAGAGAAATACAGGCAGAAAAATCCACCTTTAGGCTGGAAATGTAGCAGCAGAAATGTAGCAGCCTGTAATTTCTAAATAGCGTTTCTGTTCCCCGTCTGTGAGCAAAGTCTGATGCAGGGATTGACAAAGACTTGTAGAGTGGATGTGTAACATCTCACATTCAATAACTGATATCACCTGTGCAAACGGTACACCTGATAAGGATCAACAGAAGTGTTTCATCACTGTGTTCATTTAAAATAACTGATTTCACAGTTAATCAGGTGACGACCGCTTCACTTCGTCTCAGACTCTTCTTTGCTGGTTAATTACTGTCAGCTGTATGAATTTGTGTAACATGCTAAAACAAAGCTTTTTTCCCCTCCCAGCAGTGTGACAACTCGTACCTGCTCTGCTGAGCCTTACGATGACGTTTCCGGCGCCGTTTGTGGGCAGGAGGCTGCGCCCCGTCGGCAGTGATGGTGCCCTCGTAGATGATCTCCACGCTGGGGCTGCGGTCTTGTCTGGACCTCCGGCTGCTGCAGAGAGAGAGCATGGAGTGAGCAACTTCTGGAAACGTCATTAAAACACCTGAACCACAGGAAGCTATAGAGAGGTCTTCCTCATCTGTTGAGCTGAGCACTTCACACCCAAACAGCTGGTGAGATGTTGCAGCTGACAGTTTTAGAGTCAGGAAAGCGACTCTAAAAAAAAAGAAATCAACAGTAAGAGGAGAAACAACACGCGAACATGAAGCCTTTTCATTGCTGAAAAGAAAATCCCAAACATTAATATTAGACTGAGGTTCATTTAAACTTAAGAAAATACAACAAAACTGTGTCTGTTTCCAGAATAAAGAGGAAAACGTTCATGCTGATCTCTCATGGTAAAGGATTCATTTTTCGTGCATCGTCCCCTGAATAAAGAGCTGCAGCTTAGTGATTAGCCAAAGATAACCATTTTCAAAACCTAAACACTTGCTTCTTCTGTTTACCTATCAGTCAGATCTAGCTAGCTCTGGCTCACGTTTAAGCAGCCATCACATCAAAATGTATAAACAATGTTGCTAGGCACCACTGGCCTGCGGGAACTCTTTTACATTAATATTTATGGGTTCAAAATCACATCCTCTGTGGGGAATTCAATTACATGATTTTGAAAATCACAAGAGGTCAAAACGATGAGAACCAACAGGCAACATCCCAGGTAGGAAATGTTTCTTAGTTTCACCGTACAACCAGTGACATCATGTCTGCTTGTGCAAGTCGCGCTTTGTGGTAGCTTCAGTCGGCCAAATAAATGTGTCAAATTACCAAAAAACTTTTCACTCACAGCACTGTCCTGTGATTTTAAAACAACCTTTTTGTTAATTTGAAGAAAATCCCCCCCACCCACTGTGGATCCATTTAAAAAAAACCAAACAAACAAAGAAGTCACTTTTCATTTCTTGTATTATTATTGCTAAATTATTTGGGGGTAGCTATCAGGAGAGGTCTTTATCTTTAGGAAAAGCTGTAAAATGTTTAAAAACACAGACAGAAATACAAAAGTTATTTCCTTGACATTTTCTTCTTTGTCAGGCCGATTCTGGACCCCGAGCCTTATGTTTGCAAAGCTTGGTGTAAATGTTACAGAGCTGCGGTGATGTCACCGTTTGCAGGACCTTAAACTTAGGCTGCATTACTGGATATAATGCCTGTCTTATAACTGTTGCAGTATAATACTGCTGCTGCTGGCACTTTGTTGGAATTGGACGTCATCACTAACATTGCAGGGTGGAAATAGACAGGTGAAACACGATATATCATGTTCTGACTGAGAGATTTCTGAAGAAAATGTAAACGTACAGCTCTGCTATCACTTCCAACATAAATGAAGACAAAAAACTAAACAGCAGTGACGTTTGTAGGGTTACTGAAGTTGGGCTAGCTGGTATAAAATGATGTGCTACGTGATTGCTAGCGACACAGCTATGTTAGCATAACAAACGCAGTGAAGCTGGAGGATGAACGCTAACTTTTTCCCCCACTCGGTAAAAGTTAATGTGAGGGTTCCCAATGGTTGGGGACAAATGCACTCGTATGGCAGGATGCTGTAAATGGACCAAACTTCAGTCAGGAGAACAACTGAGATAATCCATCCACAATGAGAGGTTAGTCATTAATATACTGCAACAACACGGGAATAGAGCAGCTGCCAAAGAATTCAACATTAATGAATCAATCGTGGAGGAATCAAGAAGAATGAGTTGAGTAAAGTTTGACTTATCTGACTGTTTTGTTTCGCTTCGCTTAATGCGCCCTATGTATGAAAACAGACCCGTTCATCGACAGAGCGCCTTATGGTCCGAAAAATACAGTACAAGTCAAATGAAACCCAAATCAGAGGTGAGGGTGGTCGGTGAAACCGGCTTATCCTGCAAATCAAAATTTGTTAAAAACAGTCAATAGACCACTGATAATTTACACTCTTCTGGAAAGTCTAATAATAATAAATCCAGTGGCGTCTTACCTCTCGCCACCGTAGCCACTGCTCGCCCGCCTGTGCCTCTCCCTTCTCCTTCCTCTGTCTCGCTCCTTCCTCTTCCTCCTCTCTTTCCTCTTCTCCTTGCGAATACCACCACTGCCGCTCGGCCTCCACGTGGGATCCTTGACATTGTTGTCCAGGTGGCGGCTCTTGCATTTCCTTTTCCCGCCAGGTTTCTCTCCGTGATGAGCGCTGTCGCTGGGGGACAGCGTGGGCGTCGGTGGCGTCCGCGGTGGTGGTGGGGGAGGACGCGGTGAGGACGAGGAGAGGGATGGTGAAGAGGCGGAGGAGGTGAGAGGGGACACCTGGGCGCAGGGGTACTCCCAGCTGGAGTCCGGCGGACTGGGCGACGGCGGGGAGCTGGAGTCAGCGCTGGAGTCAAACGGAGGCGAGGAGCGGTGCCGCATCATGGCGGGATAAATGGAGCGATTTGGGTTGAACAGAGTGCCACTTTTCCTGTGCTGGTTGCTGCTGCGTTCTTGCCTTCTCTTCCTCCTCTTCTCTCTTGCTGCCTCACTGGTGGACTTCCTGTCTCTCCAGCTCCCCATCTCCTGCCGCCGCTCAGTCTCTCCAGGCGTCGCCGGGCTGAGCGTGCACACAGAGCTCCTGCTCCGACCAGAGCTCCCTGACCACGAGCGTGCACGTGAGCGCTGTCCTGCCACCTCGCCAGTTTTCTGCCCCTTGTCCTGCTCCTCTCTGTAAGTACCTGATGTGGAGGGAGGGATCGTGGGTAAGTAAGAGAGGGGAGGTGTTGCAGAGGGGGGAGGAGGAGCCTCCTCCTCTTTCTTCTTCTCTACCTCCTCTTCTTCTGTGTCAGAGGAGAGCTGCACCAACTCCGGCGTCCGTTCTGCAATCGGCTTCTTGTACCCAACGATGAGACACTCATCCTCTTCTCCCTGCCTTTCTCCTCCATCCTGATTGGCTGCCTCCGGCAGGGCAGGACTGAACGAAGATGAAGGCTCGGCGGTGGAGTAGGAGGGGCCTGGGGTTTCATCATCCCAACCCGAAAGGCTAAGGACACTCGCTGTTTGGATGGGGTCATCTTGAGCTCCCACATCCCTCCCCAGCCTCTCCTCGGACCCTCCCCCTGCCCCCCTCTCTTCATCCTCCCCCTCGGAGATGGCGATGACAGAGCTGCCATCGGACGAGCTGCTCATCCCATCCAGTTCCACTGCAGCGTCCGGTGGCTCGTACACCGCCTGCAGGTCGTAGTTCTCCAGGCTGAGCGACGAGCGGGCGAAGCTGATGAGCTCATGCAGGAAGTGCTCAGTGCGTGCCAGCAAGAATGGCCGCAGCTCTTCTTCTACGTTGGGTGTATTCTCCAGGCCGTGGCGGGCGAGCCTTGCCATGATGATGCGCTGAACGATGTCAACCAACGAGGTGTGCGAGCCATACAGCACCGTGAGCTCCCTCCGCAGCCAGGGGCGGAGCCTGTTCAAGTGGGCAGGGTTCCGACGGAAGCTATCTGCCGTGATGTCACGCTGTCCCTCGTTGCCGTGTACTCCAGCAACCCCACGGACCCGAATGCCACAGCGATAGAGTCCACGGCGAAAAGCCACCGTCTCTCTCTCCCTAAGTCGGCGCACGGTTCCACCTTCACGCTGCAAACGCTGCCTTGCCGCTAAGCGAGTCATCAGTCGCCGTGATGCCCGGTCATTGGGGGCAATGGGTGCCACTGCCCCTCCAAGGCCTGTTAGTCCTTCAAATATCACACCGCGCTCCACCAAATCAGCGCCTCCTCTTATCCTCTGTTCCTCCCCATCCTCACTGTCCTCAGCAACGACTGGAGGGTGAGGAAGAGGAGGGAGTGGAAGGGGAGGGGAATCGAGGTACCACTCCCAACCCCCTGCCCTCTCCTCCGCCCTTCTGGCCCCTCTCTCCCTCCGCCGCCTCCTTGTTGTTGTCTCGCCAGCCTCTGACACCCGGTGCCGCCTCAGCATTAGCCTCATTTGATGGCTGCTTCTTGCAGCCGACGCCATTGCTGCCACCATTGCCACAGTAGCGGCCACGCTGCTGCTGGGGGGCGCTGAGCGCAGCGTATATTCCTTGAAGTCATCCTCAGCTTGGTTCCGGTAAAAGATTGAGGCAAAGGGCTGCTTGCAAAGCGGACACTCTGGCTTTTTGTGAGACCACTCCTGGATGCACGGGAAGCAGAAGCGGTGCTTGCAGCGGTCCAGGAATGCCAAGTTGTTGAAACGGTCCAGGCAAATGGGGCACTTGGAGTCAGGCGACGCCTCCTCTGCTGCCATTAGATGGGGGCGTGCTGATGTTGAGGCGGAGGACGCGGGTGGAGACAAGGACGAGGAGGATGTGGCCGCAGTAGAAGATCTGCTAGCGTTTTTCCTCCTGCTGCCACTCTCTCGACTCCTCTGCTCTTCATCTTCCTCCAGCGCCGCGCCACGTCCAGCAGCACCTGCGGCTGCATTGTCACGGCGGCGAACACGCAGCTTCATTCGAGTCGGCGCCATCACCTGAAAACAAACAAAGCAGGAAAAAATGTGTCCTTATTCAGTTTTCAGGATTCAGAACTGTTGAGTACAGGTGAAATGACACCTGCTGAGAACAACAACAAAGTCCTGGATTACAAATTAATCAGGTCACATGGCTCCCCAGTGCTTCACTTTGATCTAAAAACACAGGAAAGCTGTGGCACCAACACAGCTAGCAGCTACTGCTTCTTTGTCACTCTTTAAATTTCGCTACTCATTTGACTTTCTGCTTTTATATTTGACTTTTTATTGAAAAAATAACTTAACCATAAATCAAAGCCCCTCTTGTGGTGCTGTACTTTAAAGATTTATACTTCACTGATACTCCTTGTAGCCACTATGTTAGCGTGCTAACACTGACTAACTGAAGCTCACAGTCAGGATTGAACACTGCGGTAAACACTTTGCTCCTCTCAGAGCCTCTGTTTGTTTAAATCATCCGGCTGTTTAACCCTCCATCTGTGGAAACCCTTCACACAGTTGTGTTAATATTAACGCTGATTATTATTCTAATTATTCACCCAATTACCGACACGGAAGGACTCCCCTGAGTTTGTTAGCCTGCTAACACACCAGCTAGCTGTTACCTAAGCCTTCCATTTGGTTTAATTCTATAAAGACCTTTAATTTTGCAAAGATTATTCGCGAAAAACCTAATTGTTTAAATTAAATATTTTTTTTGTTTAAAGATTTTCAAGCTATGGATGCTCATCGTTGCTTAAAAACCCTACATGCTATCTCTGGCTAACAGAAGCTCCCTGCCTGTTAGCATTTAGCCCACATTTGTTATTTTCTACGGTCATTATAAAAATCTGCGTTTAATTACTTGGCTTTACTCTTTAATTCTTTCTCCATAACAACAATGATGTTTTAAAACATTATCCTGTTTATTTTATTACTTACAACATATTCTAGAAGGACCGATGCCCCCAGGTTGCTACCCGACAAACATGCTAACCAAAGCTAGCCGGGTTCAAACAGACGGCTTCCCCCAGCCTGTTAGCATGCTAACACTGTTAGCTTCGTACCCGAGCTGAGGAAGCAGCAGGCTCCGCGGGTTGCTCCTCATCCGGATTCTTTCTCCTCCTCCGGGTCGAGCTCCGCGCTTTCAGCGGCATCCGCCGTCAGCGATGGCCCCGGACACACACTGTACCGATCCGTTTAGATACCGACTGCTGTGAGAAACACACACATCTGCCTGTCACTGTCCTCAGAAGCGACGCTCCTCACAGCTGGAACGAGAAAAACGCCGCGATGGATGATGGGAAATACAATGACAGTCGAGTTGTCTTCCTCTTCTTCTGTGGTCAGCCCCCACAATCAGTTTATCACTGCCACCTAGTTGGGTGGGGTGATGGTACGAGGATTCTGAATGCGATCTGCAGCACAGGGTGTGAGGGACAGCACGGGGGGATCTATGGGCTCAAATTGTGGTCATAAATATTTTGTACTTGTAAATCAGGATTTGTATGTGTAAAAAGAATTTGTGTGTGTGTAAAAAAGATTTGTATGTGTAAAAATAATTTGTGTGTGTATAAAAAAGATTTGTATTTGTAATCTTTTTACACAAACAAATCTTTTTTACAAAAAAGATTTTGTAAAAAAGATTTACACATACAAATCTTTTTTACACACACACAAATTATTTTTTACACATACAAATCTTTTTTACACACACACAAATTCTTTTTACACATACAAATCCTGATTTACAAGTACAAAACTGATTTACAAGTACAAAATATTTATGACCACAATTTGAGCCCATAGGGGATTGCAAGATCGTTTCCATGATTAGAAAAATTACTTCAGAGCAAGAGAAGAAGACTCTCCGGGGAGTAGGCATATTATCCCACCTGGGTTAGAGAGGATCAAGGCTGAGATTATGCATGTGTGCAGGAGGGATAGTGGATGTATTGGAAAAAAGAATGTTGATAAGTGCAATCTAGATGACTTGTATACCCCCAGTCTATATTTGAAATCAACTGCAGGACTACTGTGGTGCTGATCTTTAGCCTAAATTTAAGATGTTTAACAACAACTATTCATGAGTTACAGTCGTTTCTTACACAGCCTCTGAATTCTCAGTAATGTAGTTTGCACACTAACAAGCATTTGCCTGAATCTGATCTCTGTTCATGGGGACAGAGGCCAATATTAGGCTGCAAAAAGAAAGAAAAAGAAGGTCATTTACATCTCTATCTACCATTGCAGAGTCCACAGGATACCTGGCTCCTCCCTCAAAGACCCTACTCACTACCAACAAACTGTGTTCACACTCCCAGGCTCATGCTGGAGGTGTAGAAGTGTGTGACTGAAGAACTCTTTCTTCCTGCCATCAGACTCTTAAACACCTGACAGGAGTTTGTAAATTTGTTTTACCTCCATCCATATTCCTCTGTTTGTACACATGCAATTGCACGGATGATCTGATATCGTCGTGTTGGTGTTGTTCCCAGATCATCATGAAAATGTTGTTCCAGGTTCAACATTGCAAGTGACCAATCACATTATTGTGACGTTATTCTTTTGCGCACCAA